TTATAGGTCAGCTAGACCTTACCTAGGGTTGTGATGCACTTGTGCTGAAACCACTGAAGAGCTGGATTAAAAAAAAACAAACAAACAAAGTTGCAAGAACAGAGCTTTTTGCCTTGACTTTGGAGCATGTAAGCAAATCCAGAAAACAAAAAATGCAACCCTTCAATTTAGTTTGGTATCACAGCATTTCCCTACTATCTTACAATTTTTTAAAGATTTAAAAGAAAAAGATATTTGGGTCAAATTTGTTTTTCCATATGAAGAAAATAATAGAGAGACAACTGCACATGGGGGAGGAGAAGCCAGAGAGGAGGCTGAGCTCACAGCATTTTCCCTGGGCTTTTCAGTATGATTGGTGAACCATGAGCAGAGAGCAGATCAGGCACTGGAGTCTGATGTCAGTTTTCCTGCTTGAGGTTGATCAGGAGAACTCAGACGCACATGCTGTAACCCCCAGAAAGGGGACATCACTGGGATTTCTCTCCTAGGTTTTGTATTTTGAAAGGGAATTCAGTTTCCATCCCAGGATGGAGTTCTCCATCTCCATCAGCAAGGCCACAGAGCCAGGGGAGTTCAGCTGCACTGCCTGGGGGAGACAAGGATGGGCAGTGACCGTACAAGACACCAAATCCAGCTGTGAGCCCCCAGCCCTGCAAGCACTTCATCCCAAAGGTCACAGAGCAGCATGTCCCCAGCATGTCCCTGCCACAGCCACAGCACATGGAGAGCTCCCAGAGACACTGGGGCCTCTGCAGCGTGGAGCTGTCCGAGCTGGAGAGCAGGAGGCACAAAATCAGTGCACAAAGATTTTGCCAGACTGGGGCTTTGGGAGGTTGGAACCAGAGCATGTCCCATGCTGTAGAGGAAGACAGAAAATCCTGGGGTGAATCCTGGACTCATCCTGCTTGGAAAGAAGCATTGTCTCATCCCTGCCCCTGCTGAGGTGTGTGACAGCAGCCACCAATGTCAGGGCATCCCACCAGCACCCCCGTTGCTGGGAGCCATCCAGCATGGCTCAGAGAAGAAGAGGACATAGCAGAAGATGAGGCAAGGCTGGTGGCACCACAGAGGTGACACCCTGAGCAGCTCCCATGGCACTGCTCAGAGTGGTGTTGGGAAGATCCCTTCAGGTGTGGTCTCCTCTTTGGGAGCCAGTGTGAGCACAGCTCCTGGCCAGGACATGGGGACAGTTCTTTCAAACAACCTGACAGCAGACAGCCTGAGCCACCTGCCAGCCCTGCGTCTTCCACAGGCCCTTCAAAACCACAGAGCTGAGAAACCACGAGGGGAGTATGTGAGGTTATGAGAAGGAGGAAGAGGAAGGAGTGGAGGAAGTGCAGTGGTGGTGAAGAGGTAGGTGACAAACCATGTGCCCAGTTCCAGGCTGAGGCCCAGAGCCCAGAAAAAGCATGGAGAGCACTAGAAGGGGTTTGGGCTCAGCTGCAGAATGTCTGCTGGGGCTGCCTGCAGCTCCTGACTCCCTCTGGGCCTGCCTGGTGCAAGTGAGGGAGCTCTGGGCCTGATCCAGGGATGGGCAGTGCTTGCTCTAGAGGAATCCCAGTGTCCCCACCTGGGAGCTGAGCAGAACAGGGTGCTGCCAGGCTCAGGGCTATGGGCTGCAGGGAAGGATCTCCCTGAGCATCTCAGCCACTCCTGGAGCTCCTGCAGGAGCACAAAGGACAGCAGTGAGGACAAAGGGAGAGGTGGTTATTGTCCAGCTTGGACAGGTGCCTCTCCCCCTGCCAGTCACAGGAAACAAGGAGAAGCCAGAACTGACCCTCTCCCACCATAACCCCCACAGGGAAGTACCACGAGCCTCCTGTGCAGAATCCACCCCTGAACCACTCCTATGGTCCATCCAGCCACTGAGAGCCTGGATGCACTGGGCCTCCCATGGATCCTGTCCCATCCTGGGAAAGGCATTTTCCAGCCAAAAGGACAAGGAGGATGATTTCACCTCCAGCAGATCTGGCTAAGAGGTGTGTGCACAGCAGAGACTGTCAGGCAGCAGATCAAGCAGCACCCACAGGGGACGTGGCCACTTCCACCAGGAGATCACCCACTCCAGGGACTGCTCACACCCAGCCTCCAAGGAATTGCTGTGCCCACAGCCAGCACTTTGCTGGCAATAGCCACAGCTCCCTGCCAGCCCAAGGAACATCCTTCTGGCAACTGCAGCAACCTGTGAGAGTCAGCAGGGCCACACACAGGTGTCTGTGTGGGAATTGAACAGGGAATTCCATTTTCTTCTGGCAGCAAGAACCAGCTCCAGCTTTGTGCAGAACCACAGACACCACATGGGGCAACTTCAGATTTCAAAGGAGACTTTTCACTTGAGTTGCTTTGGCATGGTGGCCTGACCTACCCAGCACTGTGTGCCTCAGGACGGGAACACAGCACACAAACCCATGGCATGGAAGCTGGTGGCACTGCTGGATGGAGGGAACTTCATTGATGGGAAAGCCCATGGAGGAAGAGGACAAAGAGGTGTTGGGTGATGGGATGGGGAGCAGAGAAGTGATGGTACTGTGGGTTGAAGTCCAGGAGAGCAATTCAGGGTATTTCAGCAGGGAGGTGAGAAGCACCAGTGGGGAGAGCATAAAGCCAAGACACCTGTGAGGGCTTCATGTGAAGAGCCACATGATGGGCCACGCAAGGAGGTCAGAAAAGCTGTCTTGGGCAGCTCAGAAACTGGTCTGAAACTGCTTGAGCCCCTCTTGCCACCCTCTGTGGAGCTCTCATGAGTGGCCTCAGCAATCACACCCGCCTGGTCTCCATGGAGTGGAGTTACTGCTCCCCACCACCACCTCCCCATGCAAGCAGGACACTGAGCAGGCCTGGTGCTCACACAGAGGCTCTTCCTGACACAGCTCCTGTGTCCCCTGCCCAGCACTGCCATTGTCACCTTGGCAAAGTCATTGAACCATGCCAAGCCTCAGTTTCCCCAGAGAATAATCCAGCCTCATCCTAGGGTGGGCTGAAGGTGCTGAGACAGGAGGGAACTCAGGATTAATGCAGAACTACTTGGCTTCCAGCCTCACACCCCCAAAGGGATCTCCTGGGAAAACTACCCACTTCAACTGCACTTCTGCCTAACTTTTAGGGAGAAAAGAGGCCCAGAATGAGAACCATCCATTTTGTGAATTTGCCATCCCTCTGACATCCCCTCTGGACTCAGCCACCCACTTCCAGACTTTATCCATTGTTTGCTTGGACTTATACGAGAAAAATCACATTAAGGAAAATCCTAGTTGAATCACAGACTTTGGAACAGTTGCAATGGACAATTTGACAAGGACATGGGGATTTAACATCTTTTTAAAGCAAAAATATCTAATGATAATATGCTCCACTCCTGGCTAAAAACATTATCTACTGGCATGGGGGGAATTAAAGCCATAATGCCAGCTACTATAATGCAGGCCTGGAACTCCATGCAAATATTATCCTCATCCAAGAGCTACAAAGCTCTGTTTATCCTAGTAATTAATTCTGTCTTATGTTTAGTGATACAATTAGAGAAACACTGCCGTTCTGATGGGCTTGCTTCCACCAGTGCCTTTTACTATATTTACATCCCCACAATAGGCTTGGTCTCACAGAAAAGGGTGAAATTGCATTTATGGAGACAATGCCACATGCATTCCCAGAGCATTTTAGAGATGTAAAGTTAGGCTCTAAATTGCACGTTTATTGTGTGAGCACACAATGAGCTTAGATTAAATATTGACTAAAGCCAGCCTAACACCCAAAATAATGAAGATGAGCACAATAGTGTGATTTACTCCCAGCCACTAGAGAAATACACATCTGTAACATATAACATGCCCTTCCCACAGATATACTCTTTGTATTCTAGCTAGCCTTAGGCAGGAAAATTTCATTCTCATAAATTATGGATTTTCTTTCCCAACTGCCGACACATCCATATTACCAGTTGCAAAGCAAACAAATATAATAATTAAAATAATAATATTTTTTTAAAAAGCCATTCCCCTGACACTGTGAGGAGCAGGTGACCGGCTCATTGAATCCTCAAAGTTGAGGCAGCAAAATGGAAGATAAACATGGCTAAAAGCAGAGCATCCTTTCCCTTTTGTCCCCCAAGGTGTGGGAGCCAGCAGGGAGGTGTGGGCATGGCAGGTATCCTTTTAGAAAGTACTCCCAGCCCTAGCTGTGCTCAGAAAACTATCTGTCCTTCTCACGCCTTCCTCCTTCCCAGACTTGTGGAAGAAATTCAGGGAGAGGCAGACGTTAATAGAACAATTATGATAATAACCCAGTGCTGAGTGGGGGTAACACACACCCTTCCCAGCAGCTCGACCTCTAAATCCTCTAATACAGCACTGCTTCATTCAAGATTAAAAGAAATTGTAACCCAGCAGAGACAAAAAGACACAGGAGGCAAGGCAGGATCTCACTCGGCAGCAAAGCCCCACTCCAGTCCAGATGCAGTCATATCACTTCAGCTTCTCTGTACCATCTCCATGACAACCATGTAATTTGGATGCAATAACCACTGCCGAATTGATCTTTAAATGTAGCTTTGCTATAAAACATAATACTGAACGTGTCAGGCTCAGGATAAAGAGAGGTAGCCCCCTACCACTGAGGACTGTGATTTGAGAGCCCCTCTTTAATTTTCAGCTTCAATAATTGCGTGTGTGAGTGGATTTTAAAGGCAGGAGCAGCAAACACCATTTGTGTGTGTGTGTACGGCACGCTTTGGGGTAACACTGCCAATGAGACACCACACTGAGAGCTGGAAAAATGTGTCAATGTATATCCAGAGAATGGGCATCTTCCCACATGCACACACACACACACACATGCACACACACGCACACACACGTACCAGTCAGTCTCCAGCCTCTAAAGCACACAGCTGATGCATCAAATAATCCTCATAAGAACCAAACCCAGCATAACTAAGCAAAATAGGAGGGGGGATCGATGTACGGCATGACAATGAGAGCCGGGGAGCTCGCATTGGCACTTACCCGAGCAATGAGCTGTTTGTTTTTTGGTCCCTTCACAAATGCAGCTCCCTTTTCTCTTCAACAATCCATGCAAAATAATCTGCAGTCCCACCGATGGAGGAGTGGCCCCGTCCCTCCCCCTCCACCACCTTCCTAGACCTCCCTGTTATTGGCTTCCTTCTGCCTTCTCTCCTGCTCTGCCTCGCTCGCTGCCGATGGTTACACCTCCCAGCCTTCCCCCAAGGTGTCAAGAGACTGCTGGGGATCCGGCAGGCAGGGTGGGAGGGACGGCAGAGGGGGAGGAGGCAGGAGGCACGGTGAATGGAGCGGGGAGAGGATGGAATAAAGCTCCGGCAGAGCCCCTGGCAGAGCAGACCCGCGGCTGCCCGGGAGGCTCCGCTCGCAGCTGCCGGGGATGTCCCGGAGTGCCGGGGCTTGTCCCCCCACGGGCACCTGCAGAGCGCTGAGGGATTGCTCTGCTTCCTGCCAGCAAATCCTCACCCTGAGAATCGACACTGGCTTCAAGTTTGGGGTTGAAATCCTGCCAAATGCTCTCAGTGTCTTTAACAAACGATGCACTCCAAACGCAGCCGTGCAGCACTGGGAATGCCCCGGGGACCCACCTTGGTGCAGACCCCAGCACTGCAGGTTGGGCTGCTCCGTGCCTCTGGACACTCCCACCTGCTGCAGCTCCATCCCATCCCATCCCATCCCATCCCATTCCATCCCATCCCATCCCAT